GGGTTTTTATCTTTCTTCTAAATCTCTAAAACTCAGCCGGTGATCAGATTATCATATGCCGCAACGGTGGATTTGGTTGTGCCACAGGACGGCAGGATTGCGCCGGAAGTGAATAAGAGCATCCCATTGTAGTTGCTGCTCGTGGAAGTCGGGGATCTCTTCGTCTGGCTGCCGGAGAACGCTCTCCTTTTAAATTTTCCTTTATCCTTTTAATAGAAATGAGATGGCGATTTTAAAAACTAAATTTTATTTATTTTTTGTCATGTCGCACATTTAACGGTCAACTATAAGAGTTGACTGCCACGTAAGCAAAAGTTAACGGAGTTGGACGGAGAGTGACCAAATTTGAAATATTTAACCAATTTTAGTGACCACTAATAGAATTAAATATTTTTAGTGACTAAACATGAACGTTTTTAGTAATTTCAGTGATCAATCTTGCAATTTACCCCCGGAATCTGGTTTGATTAAGTAGCATCTTGTAAGAACAAATGATCATGTTGTAGATTTGTTTACCAAACGAATGAGCAGATATTGATTAAGTTTCTGTTGGACAAGCTAGGAGTTTATAATATCTACTCGCCAGCTTGTGGTGGGTCACAGGAAGAACAAGAAGAATGAAGCTCTCCTGCATCATCACGGCTGTAAAGAAGATGAAGAACAAAATACCAGGCGAAAACGAAACATTTTTGTCTTCCCTTCCACCTAGCTTAAGCGACTATAAAAACGAAGACATAGAGACTTTTATTGATGGTTAGTAGTAACCAACAACAACCAATGGAGTGAAGACATGTGGCTCCCTCTATTTACTGTCCTTTTAAATTACAGTTTAACGGATTCCAATGTTACTGTTTGTTTTCTACGTCACTCTACTTCCTAATATCCAAACAGCACAACATAGGAACTTTATCCTTTGCTTATTCTGCTATGAATACCGCCTTATCTTCTTCTTCCTCTAAAGTCTAAAGTCTAAACCCTAGCTCCTCAGAGCTTTTCTGTAAAGCATACCCTCAATTTTTATTTCAACTAGAATCAATGCCCGCTGCTACGCCGCGGGAACTAAAGTTGCAACAACATGATCGTATTGAGAAGGCTAGGTAGTAAAACATCATTTTGACTTAATGGCAGAATGAGTGGAAGCCCCCATAATCGTTCAGAGCAATATGTCCAAACCATTTTCGCTGTTGTGCTAGTTTGAAAATATAGTCAGTATATCTCTTCTGAATTCACTACAGTCTACAACATCTATCATCCTGCATTTGACAGTTAAGTTTGTGCACTTACATAGATCAATGGACTTGAGTAAATTATGTCTCCACCTAATAGATGATAGCTCTCTATAATTAGCAACCACTTGATATAGTGAATGATCACAACAGCAGACAATAGCACTCACTATAGTTTGCAAGCAAGTAATAGCCATTTAGAAGGTATCAACATAGTATGAGACAACTTCAAATACCAATCTGACTGAGGTTTAGCAGAATAGCATGTAGCAACATAGTTATACCTTAGCAAACAGGACAAATGTACAAACGCTAAAATACCCCCATTGTATTTCACTGCTTGGCCATCCCATGCATAGGTCCCCCGACCATGTTTTTCACCGTCACTTTGTGGACTGTCAATTTCAGGCTGCCAGGACGTAAATTCTTTATTGGTCAAGTAAGTGTCAAGAACTGAATCTTCCTTGTGCCAGTATAATCAGCAGGAGTTTTTGTCCATTCTCACAATCATTTTCTCACCATTGGTAACAACCGCATCTTCCTTACAGCTAGTGCGATTGGTAATACTTTCTGATCCATTTCCATTATGCATAGGATCACCAATTCTCTCACCAATTTTAACACCTCCATCCTCTAACCGCCCACTAATGTTGACAGCCTCATTCCATTCCGCTTGCTTCCAGTTTCATCAACAATGATTTCGGACGTATTAGTTTCCTGCAGTCGCCACCATCTCCGAGTTTAGAAATAGGATTTCGTTCTCTACAAAGTCTCCAACCTGATAAACATTCAAATTATGGTAAACAACACAATTTCCTAACAAATTAGTATTATTGAAGAGAGATTAGCATGCTGTTTCAAATGCCCATAACACATCTCAAGCATATCATGAGCAAGAAATGGTAATTTATTTTTTGCTAGGGTTCCAGCAGCAAACAAAAGTACCTAGTGGCTTCAGTTCATTTCCCTTGTGCCCTTGCTTTTCAAAACATTGTGGCCATAGTAAGGATTCGGGACCTCAGTCTCTGCATCACTGCATGCTTCTTACAATATGAACACATCAACTTCACCTGCAACAAAACCACACATGAAATCTTCTCTAGCCAGCCTTCTTATGTGCATCTACCGGCCTTTCTTTTCCTTTCTGGTGTATCGCCTGCGAGTCAAAATGAATCCATTCCCTTCCTGCTGTTTCCTTGTATTAAAAAAAAAACTCAAGAATGAGTCGGGATATACTCAAGAAAGAACACTCTTGTAGTCAAATTTGAATCAAAATAGTAGAATCCAATATGGATAAAGTTTAAGTTTTAGCACCTCGTTGAGATTATCTTGAACTCTTGAAGAGTCGAGACACATGTATGTCTATATTGTCTTTACCTGTATACAGCCAATGAAAGTTCTGGTTTTATGAAAATTACGCTCCTAGGCTTGACAAAACAAATATATGGAGCTTTGATTGCAGATGAGGGTACCAAAGAGATTTTGGGATACTTTGAAGATCGTGGATAATACTAAACCAACATGAAAGAATCGTTTCAAACCATTATCAACCAGCACACAAATGCAATGCAAAAGCAACCAAAATTCTTCATGAGAATAGCTTAGAAAAACTAAAGCAATTAGGTTTTCTGGTACCAAACTTCATTTGATTTGCTCACTGTACATGAGAATATCTTCTGCAGCGTACCTCGAGCTTCCTTCCACGCACTATAGGATAAAAAAGTATTAAAGTTAGGTTGCAACACAGAAAAGAAAACATTTGTCGACTTCCCATTCCCAGAGAGAGAGTGAGAGAGTGAAATTAGCGGTTATCTTTTCTCTGATCATTTTCTTAGCAACCTAACAATCGACTCATTAGTCGATCAAGCAACGAACACAACCAACCTCTGACCATTCAAACCTTCAAATTGGCAGGAAATTTCTCCACCACAGCAATAAAAACAACTGAGCAAGTAGCAAGAGGGAATTATTTACAGGAATAGCATTAAAAGAATGTGGCTCTGCAAGTTAAACCTTGCCAAGCAATAAATCAAGTTCCAAATTCATTCTTTGACTCATAGATAAACCTTGAGCAAGGTTTGAGGCAAAATCATGTGCTGACTACCATCACAGCACATAGCATTTTTTTCAAAGAACTAACCTACCAAATTCTAACTAAGTAAGCTACAGTCAGACAGAGATTGTTTTTCTCATCTGCAAAAAGCAAGCGCAAGTCAGCCAAGTAGGACTGGCTACTTATCCCAGAGTAAAGATCTAAATGCACAAATATAAAGCAACTTAAATTCTACGCTTATCGATGTGTATTTTAATTATAAATTGCTTTAATACTCCAAGACTTAAACTCTGGACATGTCCTCCTATATCACACTCGATATAGAGAAAAAGATGCCAAACAACAACCAACAGAACACAGTGAAAGGAAGAACCCAAAGCCTCACCTACTGGTCCAAGGAACCTATTGCTGCTTCTCTTCTGCTTTCCACCACATCAAGCCGCCAAATAATGAATAGGGAAAACATTGAACACAACAATGATGGTCTGCATCTTATAAAAGGGAACTAATGAAGTGGAGGAGCAAAAATGCAGGTCTACCATATGATGGTGGGTTCCTCGACATTGAAACCGGTCAATCCGCACTAACCTCTATAAGGGGACATGATGGTTTGGGAATGACCAGTGGAGGAAGGATTCGAAAGGTTTGAGGTGAGGGATTCAATCTACCCTTCTCTTCCATCTGTGCTTTAATTCCCCTTCCACCGGCTCTGGTTTATTACCCTCTTCGTTGCTCTCACTTCCTCTAGAGAAATCTTCCCTTGAAGAGAAAGGGCGATCGCCGGAAAATCATGGGAGTTGACGTGTTGGAGTAGGTGTGCAGAGGTCGCAACATCGAGAATCAATCGAAGAAGTGGCGACGCCACAGCTGGGGATTTTGGGATTAGTCGTGAAGGGACGGTGAACATGGAAAGTATGGCCTCGGTGGTGGCGTGTGGGAGTAGCCGCACGGAACCTTCAAACTCTACAAAGCGCCCCAGAGTGATGAGATGCAGGAGGAGACGTGCGGCAGCGGATTTCTGGGAGTGGGATGAAGGGATGGCGGCCCCGTACGGAAAGTATGGTGGTCTCAGTGTTTCGGACGAGAAGAGCAAAACTTGACAAATCCGAAGAAGTTCTATTGGGCCTCAACCACAACACGACAAATAATGAAACAGTATTGGCAATAAAGGGTAGTCAACTTTTACATATAAGATAATAATTTCAATCAGAACTCTTCATTTGCTTCTCTGGTTTCCTTTGATCATCACCTCAAGTTTAGGTTTGTTCTTAATGAGGGGCACCAAAAAGAAAGGCTCTTTATGCAGGAACTTCTTTCAGGCAGATGATATTCATTACAACACTTACACAGCAGTAACATTTACATATTCATTCATCATGGATGAATTCCAACGTCTATAGGAAGGGGGCACCCAAAAAAATTTCCCCTGAAAAAAGAGAAACCTGTACAGAGGTGCCAATACACAAACCATAAACCCAAAAAAAAAAAAAATCGATTCAGCGTTGGATTTCCCATCCCACACAAGCCCAGAAAACTTACTTTTTTGGAGGGAAGCCAAAAAGGTTGTTAATTCAATCAGACCCAGAAAGTAAGGGAAAAAAAAAAAAACTGAAGCAGTATTGAAGTTTGAAGAAAAGAAAAAAAAAACAGAGGAGGGCAGAGGGTAAAATTAAGCAGAGGACTAGCAATACTGTGATGAAGATGGAAGATGAGAAGATCGATCATCTCTTCCAGCTTCGACTTCTGGAGAAAGGATCCGTCATGTTCATCATCCCACCGCCAACAACCCATGTTTCTTTCGCTACATCACACGAGATTTTGTAGAAATCAGTGTCGTATCTCATCACGATTAGCTTCTCCATCTCTGTTTTCCTCTCTTCCTCCATCAACGTCTTCAAATTCTTCCCTCTCTTCTCCTCTGCCCCCTCCTCTGCTTTCTTTTGCTTCCCTCCCTCTTCTGTTTGCTTTTGTTCTTCTGCTTCTTCTTCCTCCTGTTTCTGCTCCATCCAGCTCTTCGCCGGAGCAGACCTGCACCGCATCAGCAGCAGCGCATTCGCTGGCGGAACGGCGGCCTCCTCTTCCTTCTCCTTCTCCTTCTCCCCTCCATCTTCACAATCATTCCCCTTATTCTCTTGCAGCACCATGAACCATTTCGAAAACACAGCTCTCGAATTCTCGCTACTGGCCGTCCCCGCTCCCTCTTCATTTCCATCGATTGCATCATCTTCTACAACCATCTCGTCCTCGCCTTCATTCTCGTCATCCTCTTCGTCTTCATCGTCGTCGGAATTGATGTCGGACTGGGGGAACGATCCGAAGCAACGGAGATCGAATCGGATGCTCCGAAGACAAGTAAGGAAATGCATGACTTCCTTCTTGAACCCAAGAGACTCCGCCCAACTACTCGTCGTCGTCGTCGAAGCGGACGATCTGTTGCTCTGCTGCTTTCTATGATTGTGGAGTCTCTCAATCTCCTCCATCACAGACTGCCAGTTCTTGCAATTGGCGGAGGCCTTGTGATGGTGGTGCCTGACTTTGATCTGCCCTGCACAAGTCACCTTAGGAGATGTGGGCTCAGATACCAAATTATCGCCCGAACCCATTTGCTGCTTCGTCTTCCCCCACAGCATCGGGCTCCCCCGTCCGATGCTGCCTTTCTTCTTCAGCCGGTGCTGGTAATTTGCGACTCCGGCGCCGGCGGAGGGAGTACGATGGTGGTGGCCGCGCTGCTTGTTGGGTTCGGATCCTCTGGCTGGGCTGCAAATGGGTTTGGGCATTAAGGTGAGATGGGCTCGGGATGGGAAACAGACAAGCAGATCTGCTGTGGATGGAGCTCCTTTGATTTCTCTTCCTTTCATGTTGATCCCTTTCATTCCCCCGTAGCTACTACCTGGTGTCAGTAAATCAACCAGGGGTCCTCTCCCTCTGCTCTGCTCTGTGTGTTCCTTCTGACTTTTTTTGGGGATGGAGGGGAAAAGCTGCTGCAATTGCCTGCTGAATCTTTTGTTGGTATGTATGGTGTTTGAAGTTTTTGGATGGGTTTTGAAGAAAAGGAAAGGCTAGGGAGATGGAAAGGAAGAAGAATTAAAGAAAGGGGAGTCTGTGTCTATGTATGTACACACTGCTTTTTCTTTCTCCCTTTCCTTTGGTAATCAACAGTGGAGTTTGCTCCACTGCTTTTTTGGGGAGTTAGCTTTTATATTCCTTTTGCTTTCCATTTCCCTAATGAAATGAATGAATGAACAGAACACTACCTCTTTCTCTGCTCTGCTCTGCTTTACAACCTGTGGGATGGACCCTCTGTGTGGCCATGGAGGCATGGCGAGGTGGGTTTGTAGATTAGAGTTTTAAAGTGCAATCATCAACTACCCATTAGCTCGTGTTTTTAATATTTAGCGCATCTGTTTCGGTTGCTTTTTTTTCCCCCTCCTTCCGTCTTCTGGTAATCATTTCACAAGCAGCTGATTGGTCGCTCTGCAACTCACCCTCTCTCTCGCCGATGATGATGGCTACAGCAAGCAAGCAAAGATGCTTTTTTTGTAACCACCACCGCCGCCGCCCCCACTAATTTTGCTTTCTATTCTCCCCCGGCGCATTTTCTTCATTGCGTTTTTTTTCTCGAGAAGCAAACAGAGAACTAGGGAGAGGAGATTTACTTGCTGCTAATTGCTTGGCAGCTTGCTTTCTCCCCTGGTAACTTCTTTCCATAGGAAACTGATGGAGCCGCAGCTGCACTCGCTACGTTGTGTCACCTCCCTCCCACCACCTTGAGACTTTAGTTTCGTGGTGTCATTTCTAGTTGCGTTACATTGCATGTGCCTTCTAAGGCCCAGTGAGCACTGGAACGTCCCGTGCTGCGGGCTTTCACTGTCCCCCGTTGACATGTTGTCTAGGGTTGCCTATGCTCTCTCCTGCATCCTCTTTCCATGGCGGACACGCACAGTTCCATATGGTCAAATATCAATACCCTCCATGCACTTGATGCTGAATTGAGGTTTGGAGGGTCTCCGATTTACAATCAGCTAGCCGAACATTTTCGCAAGCGTAAGCATAGAGGGCGACAAGAACTGGCGTTCGATGATCAAAGCTCTTGAATTCTTAGTAAAAAAAAGTTTTGAGCTCAGCTTAGAAGGTTAGGGTCTACAATTGGCATCGAGATTAAGGCCGAGCAAGGTAGAGTAGTAATCGTAGAGGAAGGACTTGCGGAACGAAGTTAGGCAAACTCTAAGGTCAGTTGCTCTGGGAACAGCGTCACTGAGCTTAGTATGATCATAGAATGACGGGTTGCTGCAGCTTGTTGAGGACATCAATTTTGAGCTTCCAGCTGTTCGGCAGGAATGTAATGTTTGGTTAGGCTGGCACGGACTTTAATACCGAAAGATAAGATGACTCGTACTTCAGTCTAGCCTCTGAAAAGGCATCGTCGAATACAAGCTGCATAACTTGAAAAAACGATAGCTGCTGCATCCTGATGATTGAATCATCTCCAGCACATTCAGGATAAACAAACAGACAACACATCGGTCACTTTCGGGAAACATTTTCTGTGACTAGGGCCATGTTTCAGCAAAGGAATATACAAACCTGTAAAAAAATGTCACTTTTGCTGGTAAAGAAGCAAATTTTCAAAGAACAGATCGAATTAGAGAGATGGACCCTCTGATGGTTGGGAAAATCTCTAAAATTTGGGTGAAAGTCAGGAGGTTTAATTGGCAGTTGGAATCCTCTGGCGCCTCTCGACGTAGGCTGATGGGAACCACCCCGATTTCCCTTTGCATTCTCCTTCTGACCACCCTGATGGCATAACCTGAGAAGACAAACAATCACCGGCGAATTGAGGACTAAGTAAAAATGATTTCTCTTCAGAATATCTCACAGTAAACTACTTCGATTTGTATGCTGGTGTTCCTATACTAATCGACCAAATATGCAGCTGACAACTAAATAGATCATATCCTCTGTGGTTTTGATAAGATCATGATCTCCCAACAAGTCAAAGAAAAGTTTTAAAAGTTTAGACAAGCACTAGTCTTTTCCGTGTAAGTGCCACAAAGCCTTTAACACATGTTTCAGATGCCAAATGCATCAGTTAAAGGATGTCTAATGCTAAATTCAATCCCAGCTAAACTGCATGCCCTACACTCAAACCATTTCTTAAAATCAGAGAACGAATAAACATCACCTTCCGAACAACAATGAAGTCACCAACTGCCAAACTCAACTCCTTGTCAGTTTCTGCATAAAAAGGATGAGTTGCCTGCAAGAGATTGATCAGAATGTTTTTTACCATCAGTCTGTTTGTGCGGCACAATATGTTAACTTGAAGGTGTGCCTTTTATACAATGCACAAATCCAGTAATTCAACATCTGAAAAAGACCGGAAAAGGCATATAACTTACTTCAGCCAGGAAGTACGTGGTTTTTTCTGAGCTGTTTTCTAACGGAGTTACAGTAGACGGAATGACAGGAGGAGCTGCCTCTCTTTGTTGTTTGTCTGAAATCATCTGCATGTAGAAGTAGAACAACGCCATTAACCACAGGACTTGAACTGCAAAATTATTTCATAAAAATAAATGAATCCCTCAGCCTCCTCGCACTCGCACCAAAATGACTAACCTCAGTTTCAACTTCACTGAGTATAGCACCAAGTCGCAAGTGATAGTTCTTTTCCCCTTCAACCTAAATTAAACGGATGCATTAAACTCTAAAATATCACGATTTGGTGCAAAAGAAATTTCACGAAGTGGTGGGAAGTAAGTGTACCAAAGAAACAAGCCTTTGGAAGGTCAATCTTTGCTGCTGAGCCTCGACTGCAGCCAATGCAGCTGAAGCTTCTTTACCAAGAACTGCCATGTTTGCCTTCAGTTCTTGCATCTTTGCCTCTGCTGCATGCAACTTTGCAACGTTCTCAGGGATGGGGGATTCCCTAACTCGTGCTTGTCTTTTGGAAACTTCAGTAGCCTGTTTCGCTAATAATGATTGAGGTGAATAATGAATGTATGATGGCCAAAAGAGGTAGTATCAATAACAGAAATAAGCAAATTTATAGTAACTAAACAATACTTTAAGTGCCCGATAGTTGGTTACCTGAACTTCGGCTTCTTGCCTCATTCTACTATAGCGTTGAGCAAGATGTCGGGCATCTTCTAAAGGAGTACCAGTAACCATTGCTCTTAGAGGATCCAAAACCTGAGATAAAAATATCCAAATTAGGTTCCCAACCTATCTAGTCCAAACATATAAAAGGATCACTATCCGCTAAACATAATCAACAGAACAAGAAAGGAAGCAACTACAATGGATTAACCTGAGAAGCGAGTAATCCATTTAAATCCTCGGTCTCCTTCTCCACATGTTTACGAGCATCACCATATATAGCTGCAGCTTTAGCTAGCATGGTGTCACTAATGTTCTCAGTTCCATATCTGCAGCAATCCTCAGACAGTTTGGTTCCTAACTAACAAGATCATACCCAATTAGTATGTGACCAAATAGAACGAACCAAGATCAGCCAAAATCAGCAACCACATAAACCCACATCACTTTCCATTCAAATATGACAATAATGTCATGCAATTCAGCATTTACCTGCTTCAATATGTTTATATCCTATAGCAGTAAGTGCTTCTGCTGCTCTTACAATGTCCTTTTGAAAATCCTGGGCAAATAGAAAGACAATTTAATAAATTCATACACAAGGGGGCAGAAATGCTTCTCCTGAGTTTTTAAAAAGTCAAAACTTACTCTCCCTGCTCGAGTCGTCCTGTAGAGCTTCTCCAGCTGCTGATGCCTCTGCAACTCGACCTCATCGATGACTAGGGAATCCGAGCTCTCGTAACCACTGGCACTAAATTGCTTAATCACAGCCTGTAATCCAGCAGAAAGCCAGAAACCAATACCAAAATAATCAAACTTTGAACTACTATCAGAAACCATTCCCCGCATTTTTTTCTTCCTAGCATTTTCTCGAGAAGCAAACGGAAAAGAGAAAACAGAAGAGTAGGGACTGACTTGCTGTTGCTTGGCAACCTGCTCCCTTAGCCTGCTGGCTTGCTTCCGGAGCGCGTCCATTTCCTCAGGAGCTCGAGGGCCGCCAACGGTATGGAGATAAAGGACGAGGCTAAAATTTCCAGAAATGGGGATTGAAGGTTTTTGGATTTGGATCGCCGGAAGTCAGATCTATTGGCTTTTTCAGCAGTAGAAGAAGAAACACGAAAGAGGCGATAAACTTGAGCTTCGAAGTGAGGAAGGCGCTATTAGTGTTTAATGTTAGGCTATCTCAATGGATTTGGCCGCTTGTGGGTCTCATGACTAGTCATTACTCATTAGGCGCCCCTGTTTCCTAATTTCTGCTATGGCCATCCGTTCCAAAGTATGATTATGGTTCTCTCATTTTGGTTGATACATTATCATCAACGACCCATTAATGAATATGAGATGTTATATATTTATAACGGGTTAATGCCACACATTTGTTCACTGTAATTATTAAATTGAGTCATGTTTAGTCGCTAGAAAAAATTAATATCAAATTTGATCACTCTAATTACTAAAACATGTCATATTTAGCCACTCTCCGTTAGTCTCTCTCCAACTCTCTATAGTCTGTTATGTGCTTATGTGGCTAATGGGAGCGCCTAGTCATCGCCACGATAATGGTCAAACCCGACCCACCACGCCACTAAACTCGTCATGTCATACACCCAACCCAAACCATTAACCCAGCCCAAAACCAAACCCTAACTCACCTAACAAAACAAAATTGGAAAATCCAGCGGGTTAGTGGACATTTTCAGACCAAACCCTTTCTCCTTGTGCCGATGATGAGCCCGACCGTGATTTTCCTGACCAACGGCATGTTTCCCGTCTCCGGATTAGTCCCCTTCGTCTTCAGCACGTCGTAGAGGACCATGCGGGTGGTGGAGTAGAGGGTCTGCTGGAGGACGGTGGCGGAGACGCTGGAGAACAACGTCGTCGCTCCTTCCTGGCGGAGGATGTTCATCCCGACGGTGACGGGACCCACGGATGGGCGTGGAGCGGCAGTCATATGTGGATGGCGGAAATGGCACCCCCAATGTTGAAAGAGAAGGACAGGGTTGGGAGCAGCCAAGCTCTCGCCCTACAGCTGCATTTGAACCTTTATTAGGTTCAGCGGGTGGGTCGAGCAGCCTACGATGATGGAATCGATTTTGTCCTCGACGAATTCCTTAACGCTCATTGCTAAAAGAATTTGATGGAAAACCTAAATTGGTCTAAAAAAAATTGGTAGGGAGTAAGCAAAAATGGATTTAAGGCGAAAAAGAGAGTCGAGGATTGGAAATCAGAGAACCCAGTTGGGGCTGAGGTCGCTGGAGACGAGGAAATGGGAATGCAAGCTGAAAGCTATGGAGGAAGAGTGACGCGCGAAAAGTCTATAAGACATATGCCAATGCGGGGAATTTGTTGAACTGAGATGCTGTGAAGGTGGGTTTATGGCGGAGTAGCGGAAGAGAATATATAATCAATTAGGTTGGGTTAATGGTTTAGGTTGGTTGTATGACATGGCGGGTTTAGTGACGTGGCGGGTAAGGTTTGACCATTTTCGGGCCAAAATGGCGCTGACTAGGCGCTCCCGTTAGCCACGTCAGCACATAACGGACTCCATTAACGAAGTTGGACGGAGACTAACGGAGAGTGACTAAATATGACCTAATTTAGTAATTAGAGTGACCAAATTTGATATCAACTTTTTCTAGTGACTATACATGACTCATTTTAGTAATCACAGTGACCAAATGTGGCATTAAACATATTTATAACGTTTTGTATTTGTGATTGGGATGTCGGTAATTAAAAGGAATTAATGGACAATTTCTGCTCTTTTTTCAATGCAAATTTTTTTTAATAAATTTGGTACAAAACAAAGATAACCATCTCAACTAAACAATAGGATCTAAACAATTACATATATATCGTGTGTAGAGGTGACAGTTTGAATTTAATCCAATTTATCCACTAAAAAATCCAATTCTTTTAATTCAATCATATGGATTGGTGGCATGAATTGGATAATGAATTGTCGAAAATTATACTTTACTATATATAACTTATTCTCATTTTGTAATGAAAATATGTTTAGAAAATACATTTTGGTGCCTTCATTTTTATAATGACATTATAGTACCTAAAATTTTCATGATTTTTATAATGGTCCAAGATTTAAATAGAACTTGGATCCATGAATCCCACCAATACATTTAATCAAATTAATGAATCCACCATTAAACCAATCCAGATCAGCTATTCATGAATACAATCCATTTCGCACCTCTAAATGGTATGCTTATGGTACCTTGCAAGTCATTATAACTTGCACAATTCGGTCGACCTATGCCTAAATGCGATCGACCGAATTCACTATCGTGGTCACTCTGATGAAACGTCACAGTCGACCATTAATTTATAGTGGTCGACTGTTTTAAGTTAGTTGATACCTTAATGGTCAACCACAATAAAAATTCGGTCGACCTTTCAATATAGTCGGAAGCAAAATGGTGGCTCGTAAACGTAAGGAGATCGACCACTTGATGGCAGTCATTACCCAAATGGTCGACCATTTACAACAAGGGGTCAACCAGATCAAAAGTCAGAAGTACTATTCATTTATCCATCCCCTTCACGTGAAACATAGATCAAAAGTGTTGGTTTCGCGGTCGACCTCATACATTAACAGGTCGACCTCGTATAGGAAAATCAGCTTATGAACTTTGACTTTTTGCTTATGTACGTCGATGTGTGTGTTCATTTTCTCATATAAATTACGTTTGAAACAAACAAAATCAGCCATCAATCATGATAGTTAGAAACCATAGCTTCATAACATAACAACTTAACACACTAACAAGATATACAATAAAAAACACCTCATAATTGTTCACACATAACTAAAATCGAAAACCACATAATATCAATCCACGATCATACTTGTTTCAAACTAAATATTCTTAAAGACTTAAGAACAAAAGAACACAATCTAAAATCATGGAATTCCTACACATCTCTCCTCTCTCACTCATCCGCATTTTTCTCATGCATTGGTGGTGCTAGCATTATGCTAGTCGGGTGTGGTGGGATGCATGTATCTTTCACTGAAAGATTGGAACTCATCTCGCATCTCTGTTATTGTCACCTGTAGTGTGCTCATCTGGCTGGTCATCTGCCCCATGTAATCGTACATGCCAATCATCTGAGTGGAAATATGCCCCATGTAGCCATACATGCCATTCATGTGTTCCCATAAACGATCGAGGGTGACTGGTAGAGCTGAACTCTGTGGTTGCGCCATTGGCTCGTCTCCAGGCTCATCATCATGTACTACATGAGGATTGTATCCTCGGACTAGGGGTGGGCAAACGGTTCGGTAAAACCGAACCGAACCGAAATCGAATTAAACCGAACCGAAACCGAATTAATGTTATTCGGTTCGGAATTCGGAAGGAAAATATGGATAGTTCGGAAACCAGGGTTCTTTCAACCGAACCGAATTTCCGACCGAAAAACCAAAATACTATAATTGCAAGCTCCAAATGATGGATTTTAATGTTTGTAGTTGTTTTTAGACTTAAATATTTGAAATGTTTTATGACTTATGTGTTGAAAAGTTTGATTTTATCATTGATGATGCATATAATTGATATTTATTGTTTATATTAGGGGTGAAAAATAATTTAAAAGTGAGAAAATACAAGTAGCTTCACACATTCGGTTTTGGGTGAAAAACCGAACTGAACCGAATTATAATTCGGTTCGAATTCGGTTTGAGAGAATTCGGGGACCCGGTATTCATAATTTCGGTTCGGTCGAAACCGAACCGACCGAATGCCCACCCCTACCTCGGACATACACACCATCATGCATCTCAAATATCATCTTCTTCAGGAAGTAACTGTGTAAAACTTCTGCCTTGTGACTCTTAAGTCAACCTCTTCACTTAAATTCACACTAAAAAATGCTCAAATAGCAAAGTCAGGATCATCCCATATGGAAGATTCATGTTTGAACTCTCTGCAATAACAAGCATGTGTTTAAAGATCAAGTATGGCAAGTTCACCTTGTCATGTGAAAGCAGGTTGGTGAGGAGCTCCATGTCAAAGTAGGTGACTGCCTCTCGATGTCCACCCTTTAGAAGAATGTTGTAGGAGAGCATGTGGCGAAGAACTCCGGCTTGAACTGTCAGTTGGCCTACTGCGATCCTCAACATCTTCCTCTTCATCAAGACCACATATAGTGTGAATTTGCCTGGATCTCGAGAAATAATTTCCATTCCAAGCATTGTAAGAATCGTTTCTCTTCTCCTGGTTTGGAGTCTATAGTACTACTGCCAACACACTCTTGTTGATACGCATCTCCACCCCATTCCCATAGCTTTTAAAAGTATGAATCGATCCATTTGTAGAATGTTGAAAGACGATGTTGTTGTAGAAGTACTGTACCATTTTTGGGTAGTATGGTACATCGAGAGATATCACCTTCAGCCAATCTTGTTCCACAAATGGTGCCAGGAACCCCTAATCTTCGAAATGAGCATATGCATCAGTCATCAATGGCCTTCTAGGAGCCACCCTGCGGTTGTGCATTCTCCTCTTTTCATATTTGTCACTTTGCTCCTTGGTCTGGAACAGAGTTGGGTTGAACTCTTCCCATTCAAAACTTGAGGCAACCGATTTCTCTGACTCTCTTTTCTTCTTTCCTCAAAACATCCTAAGATCAAAGAAATGACAATTCACGTTAGCCAAATGACAAAACCAAACAGACACTACATGCATCGACAAAATCAAATATCATCGGTCGACCTCAAACAAACTAGTTCGACCTTTGTTTGCATGTAGAAGCAAAAACCATAAAAAAATTATTCCAATTTGCTAATATCGCGAAACCAAACATTATAGGTCGGCCTGACCGTAAATAGGTCGACCTATTTTTGCAAGCAGAAGCACGAATCAATCAAAAATTAGTCCACCTTGCTAACGTTGACGAAGCCAAAGGAAATAGGTCGACCACATCTGGAACAAGGTCGGCCTTTTTTTGCAAACAGAATCTGAAAATTGCCATAACTGCTGCATAAATCAATGAAACCTGATAGGGCAAAAGCGTATGCCTTAATCCTATCTTGTAGTAAAACCAGAAATCCGGGTATCGTCTCTCAGGGACTGGTACAACCTTATATTCTATTAATTCTATGGAGCAAACTATAGGTGAAAATGTTTAAGAGATGAAATTATTAACTAAAAGCAAAATTAACTAAACAAATTAAGCAAGTGAAAACTGTCGGGTTTAACTCAATGGGAGAAAGCTCTGGGAGAAACACCGGGATTCACTACCTATCCTATCTAGATTAATTCACATATTCCAATCAATTTAATCCATATCTCTACAGCCAGGATATCACGAATGTGCTAGCTATCCCTGTCGGGAATTACTACGTACTAAACAATTAATTCAAATCCTACTGTCGTAGCTCAATGAATTAACTATATAGCCTGAAGATCGATATCCTATTTAAGACCGCATAGCACCTTATTTAATCCACTGTCGCTTCGATAAGTTACTATGTCACATGAAATAGGCTCGGTTAATAGGATTTCACTGTCGCTAATAACCTAATTAACTACAAATCGTTGTATTGGTGGCCAGTCAACACAAAGCATTAAGAAATTTCATGCAATAGAGATTGGAAGAAAAGAATCATGAATCAATCCATCAAATCAAGAAATAGCTACATCCTATGGTGTTTCCCCTAGAAATCGGGGTTTAGTTCATGACGAAATTGAGATAAATCGATAGGGTTTTGTTCATCATGTTCTAAATCAACAATACACAACTAGTTAGGTTCAGAAAATCCAACCAACTAATCGCTCTCGTTGAATTCAGCTCAAGCCTTGAAGAACTGATCGCCGATTGCCGCTGGCCAATCGCCGCTTGATGCCTTCTCCGCTGCGCCTCTTTCTCCCAAAGAGTTTCCGTTCCCCCAAACAATAATAAAAGTGCCGCCTTCTCCCCAGATTAATAATTGCCTCCGAGTTTCTGTCCCCAGCTTCCGTCCATTAATTCTCCACTCCCCCACCAATTAAATCACTGCCCCAAATTCCTCTCCTCATGCCCAGAGAATTCCGCCCAAGTCCAAGAATAATTCCCCTAGCAATTATGTGTCCCCCGGTATAAGCCCAGCCCAATTCCTTCCACAGTTCCGTTTCTTTTGTTCCGCCCAAAAAGAATTCCACCTAAGTCCAAATCGTCCAGCCCAAGCCGAATCCCGGTTCAACTCCTCAGTAAGTTCCGGTCCAATGTACATCCAGTCCACTTGAATTATTCTATCCACCAATGCAAATTTCTCGTTTCATTTACCTGAAATATATAAAACATTTGGCACTTGATGGTAATGGTTTTATAACCATTCCAGGCTTAGTTGGACCTCAAACAAGTATTATAGGTCTCAAACATATTATGAAATAATCACATTAAGCACATGGAATTGATATGTTTTCGAAAATTATCACAACCCCACACTCAATACTTGCTTGTCCCTAAGCAACGATCCAAACACGAGAACGATAATTGGAGGAAACACAACACAGACCAGGGAGACACAATCATGCTCACACAATAATCCATGACACACAAAACACAACATCAAACACTCAAAACAAAACAAAAAATTTCCTTGTACTCTTGTTGTAATCAGTAGTTTCTTTCTTAAAGGACAAGTTGTGCTTTAATGATCATACATTTCACCCCACACTCAAGGTCTTTGCACCCATTAACATTGACTGACTCAAATCCACTAAAAACTCAAATAGCAACACTCAATTCCGATCGTAGGTAGTGGGTGATTAACAACTTATGGTGCAACAATTATTAGGAGAATCTAACCACATCAGTGAGGTGCATATCTCGTGAGGACAGTCTGGCTTACTCACACCAATCATAAGCAATTAATTATGCATGAGTCTCTAAAACTAATGGGGGAAGCCTTTTCGCAAACATGATTTTACTTTAAGCACATCACTACCTTTTGTGACAAGGAGAGGCTTTCTCTCTTTCTAATTTTGCTTGCCGAGAAGTCGTATTCAGTACAAGTGGGATTTGTTTCTTACTACCGGTGACCGAGCAAGAGCAATTTCTGCTTCTTAGCACTCGCATAAGGGCTTCTTTCAACTCCTTTTCCTCGGTCCGTGTGGAGGGTCATTGTTCATCCTCTAATGGCACTTCGCTCAACTGGGGATCGTACTTGATAAGCAACATCGTACGGTCGCGAACCGATTCTCAATTGAATCTTTCCTCATCCCCATGTGCAATGAGTGATTGCCTCACACGATTTTGGCATTTTTACCCACACTTTAATTGTTATGGCAACTTTCTTATATTTTACTTGTCATGTAGTGTTTTCTCATTTTATAAAGATACAGTTCACCCCATCTAAAACATTCAAAACAGAGAGACTCGTTGCAAAATCAAAAGCTCACAATTGATGCAAGTAAGCACGGTATCCAAACATGTCGAATGGTCAATGTTCTCCACCTAACTACTTCACCAAAAGTCGTTACACTATCCTTACAAAAGAGAATGTTGCTAAAAGAGTTGCTCATTCAATGCATATCCAAACATTCAAGCTCATTGTGAAGAACTTTGCAATTCAACACTAGTGGGGTGATTTTGATGATTTCATTCAAGCACAAACTCATTTTCAAAGCATCACGGTCATTTACATCATGTTACCACAAGAGTACAAGGTTTTGTTTTTAATTTTTTTGTTTTTTAGGTGTTTTTTAGCCATTAGCTTTGCACAGGCAGCTTGCTTTTTACACAGGCAGACTACTTTTTACACAGGCAAACTGCATGCAGTTTGGCTGTGCTCAACCTAATGGCAATTTTTTTTGTTTTTTTTTTGTTTTTTTTTTTGAATTTTTTTTTTTTTACCACATGAAACAGGGACAAACAACACTAAGACTCACCACCCCACACTCAGGATGGAACATTGTCCCTAATGTTCAACTCCTAATCTAAACATGCACGGGTTTGACACAACAAAAAAGAAAAATAAAGAAAAGAAAACTTACCTTGGGTTGCCTCCCAAGAAGCGCTTGTTTAACGTCCTCAGCCTGACGTTCATGGAGCTTTTAACCAATGGGTATGGAAAGGTATCCAGCATACCCTCCCGAGCAATGATAAAACGCATAACCTCCATCCAACATATGAGTCACCTCTGCAGGGCCAGGTGTGCGAAAATTGGGTACGACCTTCTTAGCTGGCATGTTAGACCCTTTAGTGAGGCGTAGGTGGTACTGCAGTGCCTCAAGCAAGTACTCTTCCTGTTTTGATGTTAGTGAAGAAGGAATAATAACAGGAAGGTTGAAATCCTTACCCAAATATCGATACTTGAGGTAACCTGGCAAGGATTTCTGCCCTTGCTTTGATTTCAGACTTTCAGCTGCTAGGACATGTGATAGTTCTTTGGGTGGTCCACTATCACAGGAAGAAGAATTTTCCCTTTCTCGAGCTCCACTTTCAAATTCATCATGATTATGGTCAACTTGAAAGACATTAAAAATTTCCTCCTCCTTACCTACTCGGAATGTCAACTTGCCTCTCCCAACATCGATGAGTGCATCACCAGTTGCTAGAAAAGGTCTGCCGAGAATTAGAGGCACTCCTCGATCATCTTCCATCTCCAGAATAACAAAATCTGTTGGGAGAATAAACTTCCCCACCTTCACCAATACATTTTCCACCACTCCTTTCGGAATTTTTACTGATCGATCAGCCAATTGGAGAGTGATCCGAGTAGGCTTAAGAACATCTCCCAATCCCAATTTCTTGTAGACTGAGTATGGCATCAAATTAATTCCTGCTCCAAGATCACAAAGTGATTTATTGAATTCTGTACCTCCAATGACACATGGAATGGTGAAGCTGCCCGGATCATCCCTCTTTTCTGGTAATTTATTCTGAATCACAGCACTACATTCAGAAGTAAGGGTTACCTTCTCTAGATCAGCCCATTTGCGCTTCTTTGTCAGCAACTCCCTTAAGAATTTAGCATATGTAGGCATCTGTTCAAGTGCCTCCGCCAACGGTATGTTGATATGAAGTTGCTTGAAGATATTCACAAATTTCTTGAAGTTTGGGTCTTCCATGGGCTTCATTAACCTTTGAGGGAATGGTGCGGGAGGTTCATAAGGCTTTACCTCTTCATTCTTCAATTTTTCCACTTTTTGAGGTACACGGGCAGCATGCTTTTGCACAGGCAAACCGCTTTCATTTTGCCTGTGCAAGGCTGATTCTTCATTTTCTGCACAAGATCTTTCTTCTGGTGCTTCCTCTTCTGCCTCTGGTGCCTTTTTCGAGCTGCTAGGGTCTTCCAAGGCCTTTCCACTCCTCAATGCCACTGCTACAACCATGGCATCCTTCGGATTCCTCTCAGTATTTGCTGGTAATGTCCCAGGAATCCTGCCTTGCATATCTGCCAAAGTTTGAGCCATCTGTCCCATCTGCCTCTCCATAGCTAGCATAGACGATTGTAAATTATTGTTGATGGCTAGCTGTTGAGTGACAAATTGATCCAGACCCTTGAAATTATTATCTGTTTTCTGCATATGAGCCAAAATCAACTCCTCCAGCTGGGGCTTCTTCTCTGGTTGAGGCTGCTGCTGTTGAAAACCAGGAGGTGGGATGTTTCGAACACCAGCTGGATTATTGTTTGACCATGACATATTGGGGTGATGTCTCCATTGAGGGTTATATGTATTTGAATACATACCACCCTGACCTTGACTTCGTGGATTATTGATATACTGAATATCTTCCAACTGAGCAGCTCCCAGCGGACACATATCCCTATGATGAGGACCCTCGCAAAGTTCACATGAAGCAACCTCCTCTTGTCTACCCAAAGCAATCTTGGCCAGCCTTCGTTCGAGTGCATCGAACTTGGAATCCAGCTTAGCATCAATCTTTGCTTCTAAACTTGCAACTCTGTCTATCTCATGCAAGCCTCCTCTCCTTTGAATACTGGTCTCACTACCCCATTCAGTGGCTTCTGAACAGATCTTCTCTACCAGTTCATATGCTGCTGGAGCCTCCATCCTTGTGAAACCATTTCGAGAAGCATTATTTAGGGCATCCCGAAACTCCCTTCTGATTCCATTGAAGAAAATAATGATCACGTTCCAATCTTCAAGACCATGGCTTGGGCATCTCATCAACAGCCCCTTGTAGCGCTCCCATGCCTCAGTCAGACTCTCATCATCAGCCTGCTTAAAAGTAACAATCTCTTCTTGCCTCTTCATTGCCAAGGCAGGTGGGAAGTATTTATCCAGAAATACCTTCTCAAGCTGACCCCATGTCGTGATGGAACGGGGTGTTAAGTTCTGGAACCAGTGTGATGCATTCCCTAGCAGAGAAAATGAGAACATCCGAAGACGGATTGCATCATCAGACACGGTCGGGCTCTTCATCGTATCACATATGCTCGCGAACCGGCGAAGATGCTCATGAGGATCCTCGGTGCTAGCCCCTGAGAAGGTGTACCCATTAGTGATCATATTTATGAATGCTGGGGTAATTTCCATGGTTGCATCCCCAGCCGGAATGACAACACATGAAGCTCGGGCTCCAGTCCGTCGATTCAAACGAGCCCTGATCGAACGATCCTCGTCTGCCATGATGACAGGCTCGATGTCACGAGGTGGTGGTGTCGGTGGTGTAGGGATGACAGGTGATGAAGCCTGCCCTCTCTTGGTTAGAGAAGGCCTAGGAGTTGTGGTTGGTTGCTTCCCTAACTTGACCTGCTTCCTGTTCTGTCGGCAGGTCTTCTCGATCTCCGGGTCTAGGGGCAGTAAATTGCCAGTTGTCCTCCTAGGCATGCACGAGGAGGATAAACCTGAAAATTCTTCTGCACACTAGCACACAGATCAAAATAGTTCACTCACAAAAATCAACAAAAATAAGGTATGGCAGTCCCCGGCAACGGCGCCAAAAACTTGATAGGGCAAAAGCGTATGCCTTAATCCTATCTTGTAGTAAAACCGGAAATCCGGGTATCGTCTCTCAGGGACTGGTACAACCTTATATTCTATTAATTCTATGGAGCAAACTATAGGTGAAAATGTTTAAGAGATGAAATTATTAACTAAAAGCAAAATTAACTAAACAAATTAAGCAAGTGAAAACTGTCGGGTTTAACTCAATGGGAGAAAGCTCTGGGAGAAACACCGGGATTCACTACCTATCCTATCTAGATTAATTCACATATTCCAATCAATTTAATCCATATCTCTACAGCCAGGATATCACGAATGTGCTAGCTATCCCTGTCGCGAATTACTACGTCCTAAACAATTAATTCAAATCCTACTGTCGTAGCTCAATGAATTAACTATATAGCCTGAAGATCGATATCCTATTTAAGACCGCATAGCACCTTATTTAATCCACTTTTGCTTCGATAAGTTACTATGTCACATGAAATAGGCTCGGTTAATAGGATTTCACTGTCGCTAATAACCTAATTAACTACAAATCGTTGTATTGGTGGCCAGTCAACACAAAGCATTAAGAAATTTCATGCAATAGAGATTGGAAGAAAAGAATCATGAATCAATCCATCAAATCAAGAAATAGCTACATCCTATGGTGTTTCCCCTAGAAATCGGGGTTTAGTTCATGACAAAATTGAGATAAATCGATAGGGTTTTGTTCATCATGTTCTAAATCAACAATACACAACTAGTTAGGTTCAGAAAATCCAACCAACTAATCGCTCTCGTTGAATTCAGCTCAAGCCTTGAAGAACTGATCGCCGATAGCCGCTCGCCAATCGCCGCTTGATGCCTTCTCCGCTGCGCCTCTTTCTCCCAAAGAGTTTCCGTTCCCCCAAACAATAATAAAAGTGCCGCCTTCTCCCCAGATTAATAATTGCCTCCGAGTTTCTGTCCCCAGCTTCCGTCCATTAATTCTCCACTCCCCCACCAATTAAATCACTGCCCCGAATTCCTCTCCTCATGCCCAGAGAATTCCGCCCAAGTCCAAGAATAATTCCCCTAGCAATTATGTGTCCCCCGGTATAAGCCCGGCCCAATTCCTTCCACAGTTCCGTTTCTTTTGTTCCGCCCAAAAAGAATTCCACCTAAGTCCAAATCGTCCAGCCCAAGCCGAATCCCGGTTCAACTCCTCAGTAAGTTCCGGTCCAATGTACATCCAGTCCACTTGAATTATTCTATCCACCAATGCAAATTTCTCGTTTCATTTACCTGAAATATATAAAACATTTGGCACTTGATGGTAATGGTTTTATAACCATTCCAGGCTTAGTTGGACCTCAAACAAGTATTATAGGTCTCAAACATATTATGAAATAATCACATTAAGCACATGGAATTGATATGTTTTCGACAATTATCAAAACCAAACATCATCGTCAACCTCAAACAAACTAGGTCGACCTTTGTTTACAAGCAGAAGCAAAAACCATTAAAAAAATTATTACAATTTGCTACTATCACGAAACTAAACATTATAGGTCGACCTGATTGTAAATAGATCGACCTATTTTTGCAAGCCGAAGCAAAAATCAAACAAAAATGAGTCCACCTTGCTAAGATTGACGAAACTAAATAAAATATGTCGACCTCATCTGGAACAAGGTCGACCGATTCTGGCGAACACAAAAGAACACTAATTTTGTAGATTTAAATCATCTTACAAAAAACAAAACAATATCGGCCGACCATGGATGAAGAAGGTCGACCTATTTACAACGAGAAAACCTGCTTATTTTGGGGATTTCAAATCAAATCGTAACAAATCATCATCCGATTGCAAACAAAACTGGTTGACCAGTGAAAGGATGCGGTCGACCGATTTTGGTGAACAGCAGGCAAAAATCCAATTTCTACAGCTATAGGGGTTTGGTAAAAACAATCTAATCTAACATGAACGAACAAAAACTAACCCAAATGACAAGAACATATGAGAAACACACATTATTCTTCTTATTAGCAGCTGAGAGGTTTTGGTGCTTCTTTTATGTTTTTTGGTGGAAGAAGAAGGGAAAGGAGAGAAAAGAAGAAAGAGGTGAAGATAGAAAATGAGTAGAGGAGGTTGTTGAATAGTGAAGTAAAAGGGGGTAGGAGGATAGGATTTGAGTGTATTTTTAGATAAGATCTGGTTTAGTCAGCCAAACAAGGACGCAGTCAACCTTTTCTAGGCTGGTCGATCTGGTCATCTATCAGGTGGACCGTTTTCTTTATTTCAGTTAATTTAAACCACCAAATAACAAATGCTTATTTATGAAGATAATTTGAAAATACATAATTGCGAAAATAAAACACTACAATCATAGTTAAAAAGATAAAGCCCTAAAAACCGTACAAGAAATTTATGCTCCTTCTTCGAGACTTTGTTTCAGACACTTAAGGAGAAAATGACCATATTTCCCACATTTCGAACACTTTCTTAAGATTTTGCCCGATGCACTACGTGTTGATTTGAATGTTCCCTTGGTCTTCACAATTGTTGGGTCTTTCACACTTGGAAGGGGTGTTGGAGGGTTTGGAGGTGCAGTGATATCCATTCTCTCCCTCGATAACTCAATTGCCCATTGAGTAAGGTCATCCAACGCCTTAGAGACATGATTAAAAGCATATTCACCACCACACGCGATGTCACACAAACGCTTACACTTCAGTGACAATCGCCCATGTCTTATTAGTCGACCGACTTCTCTGTCACATCACCTCCAAATCCCAGATTACGAGATAGTGTCTTTGCATTTTGGGTCCATCAAAGTTTGAACCAAGTGGAGGTTAGTGTTGTAAATTCCTTATTTTTATGATTGTAAGCATATGTTTGCATGGAAACCCCTTAGATTCAAACAATGCACACCCACATTTTAGATGTTGATTGGTCATAATAAATGTTAAAACTCATTCTCCGATTCGAGTCCATGCAGTTCTTCAGAATGAATGTCTCTGCCCCATCTGCTTCAATTCTTGTCTCCGCTAACATATAAGAAGCTTTGTTCTCTAGTTCAGACTTGAAGATAGCAAACGTACGATGTCTGTAGATACTTTCAGCTTGCCTTTCCCATGTGCGAAGGGCATGCTTGTAATCCAACCTCGTGTGCCTAGAAGAATAATCATCATGCACCTCCGTGTTACGCATCCCCCCAAAGCTTCATCAATGCCCTGAACAAAATGTTACAAGCTGTATTGAGTTCCTACATACCCATTTATCCAAGGGTTACATGTCTCACATCGTGAGGTTGATTGGAGTTCACCGAAAAAATATCCTTCAAGTATGCCTATGCCCAAAGTGATTTGTCAGCGTACAAATCCCGCAACCACTTATTTTCAAAGAAACCATGCTCTCAGCGACTCTCAAACTCCTCAGTTGATATACGTGCTTTCGCCAAGTGGGTGAATGCGCTAATGAACTCTTTATTACGAACAGTCGTTGTTGCATTTGTCTCAATATGCCAAATACACAGTCGATGAGGCACTCCAACCAGTACAGTAGCAATGGTGTCACGCATAGACTTGAATCTATCTGTGATCAATGAAGTCGACATCTTAGAATTCATACACTCCAGAAAAGTATTCAACACCAAATGTAGTTGGGGATTGTCTAGTTATCCAACTGGGCAAAACCATATATGACTTAACGGTGGTATTGATTTACACCAACCATCATAAAAAATGGCCGATTGTACTTGTGGCTTTTTTAGCATGCATCAAACGCCAAGACATCCCCAAAAAATGGTAATCTGCTCTAGATGTGGAGTTAGACCAAAAGAGATTGCTTAATTCACCTTGATTGTTGATTGTGTACTTGAAGAACTGCATATATTATAAGTATGTTACTTTGAAGGTAACCCAATGTATGGTTTACATATCCTATTAGATCGTCGTCATCTTTTTGGACTTTCTGAACAATGTTATCCAAATCCTTTGGAGTGTACCCCAGATGCTCATATACTACAACTTTATTCTTCATGAACTTAACAATATTGTGTTGTTTTATTCCTGACTGTCGCATCCCTATCGCCAATGCCTTGTCTCCTTCACTCACATTTCGATGAGACCGTAGAAATTGAGTTTCTTCTTCATTGCAACAATGATGTGAGTGCTTCCTCTTGAACTTAGAAACAACCCACATTCTCTTACCCTGATCAAAGTGTACATTATAGGATTCCTTGCAAAAATATCTTGTCATCTTATGATGTTGTCGTGTCCTACCTTCTTTGTCTATATGCCTCTTATGTCTAATTCCCTCTCTCGAGCATACCATTTTCCTCCTAGTAACTTCTCCTTGACGATTCCTTTGAAGATCTCTCCGTCGAACGCTAAACCTTTTTGCTTAAGCATAGGCATCATAAAGTTTCTCTTCATCTTCTAATGTTTGAAACTCTATGGAAGGAATTTGTTTTTCATATTCAGTAGCTTCTTCATCATCCATAAATTCTTCTTCAGCCCCCATCGTTTTATTATCGTCCCCAATCTCTTCATCATCTGTATCATCTATATCACCTTCAATAACCATAGTTTCTCCTCGAGCATCCCTAGTTTCCTCATCGTCCCCAATCTCTTCAACATGTCTATATTTTATATCATTTCTATTGTTCATTCTTCAATAATTGGAATAAGAATTGTATGTCAATATGGAAAATAAATTTATGCAACTAAAATAAAAATTAGGTCTCGTCGGGTCGACCGTCGCCAAAAGTAAGGTCGACCATATTACAAAATAACACAAATTCGGTGGTCGACCTAATTAGAAACAAACTAACAACAAATACATAGATGTATAGAGAAGACTAGAAGCGGTCGACCTCAGGGGTTGACATAGTCGATCTAATTAGAAACAACCTAACCATAAAAAATTGTAAACAAGCACACGAGACTCGCAAAATATGGTCGACCTCTTTCATGACAAGGTCGACCTGTATTTGATGATTAGCTAAGCACCGAACAATCTTTGCATGATAATGAAAGCATACCTTAGAAAATAAGGTCGACCACTTAGGTGTAAGATCGACCAGAGTAAGAACAAACAGTACACCAACACACGATCACAATAAGCACGATGATATTACAACACACCAACAGATTGCATAGATCGAAGTATGATGAAAGTCTTAAGACTTCATCTATTTATAGAGAATATAGACGAATTCCTTATCTTTACTAGTATGGGGAACGCTTATCCCAAATAGTGAAGGATACACATAATCCTAATTCGACAAGGAGAAGTATACAAAATTCGTGCACATATAGGTCGACCTCTTTCTGGTCATGATCAACCATTTTAACTAGAGGAGAAAATCACTAGGACAGAATCCTTATTCGACATCATTTATGAGCTAACTAAAATTATCATAGGTTGACCATAAGCATACGAGGTCAACCTTTCTGTTTCCCTGGTCGAGCGCTTTGAGTAAATGACTCATATTCTAAATTCCTTGAAATCCATCATTATATAACTAATCAAATAAACGAAACATTGAATATCCGGAAGAAAACAACCTCGCAAATCAAAATTGAATGTATTGTCTAACAAATGTAACATTGTAACTGAATGATATCATTTCTTTGCTTTTTTGTTTGAACTCTTTCTCTCTTTGCCTCGTTCCACGCATTCATCTACTACATGCTTGAAAAGATTTTCTCGTGCACGGATTCCAAAATGTGCAGTCAGATACCATAGAATCTCCTTTTTAACCTATAATTTGTGTTCTTCTCCTATCTGCATTATGACATATAACACTTCTTTAGAAATAAAAAAAATAAAAACAAATTTGAGCAAGTTTTTTGGTTGACGATATACTAACCACTCTATCCATATCTTTGGATTCATATCGATCTATTGTATCACATGCACACCACAGTTGGTATCATTCCTTTTCCCTTGAACGCGTAGCTCATCGATATTGAAATCTTCAAAATTTGGTATTGTTGCATTGCTCATGCACTCCGGTTTGAACATATCGTGCAGTTTGGACAACTTCACACAAACAATAAATATTATGTGCTTCTAGCAGTATACGTGACACTTAGCAGTCAGAATTTTATAAGAAACACTTACCATTTTCTTGCAGTGGTTTGATTTACGTTTGTGACCCGCTTCACTAGTTGCTAGTAGATTGTCAAGCAAAAATGAGGTTTTTTTATGGACATTGACGAGATACAAAAACCAATGACATGTATCATCGTCCAGATCTAAAACTGGCATAAATATCTACCCATGAAAAAATATGTTAATAGAAACAAATTCACTTTAAAAGCTTCATGAAATAGGGACATTGGCTAACCTTCTTGCATGCGTTAACATTTGGCATAAACCCCACGCCATCATCCAACAACTTGTTACAAATTTTTTCGTCTTCATGTTCCGACCTACCATTTTTTGCACCATTAAATGAAATTAATTGACTTGGTACACGATTAATAACTAGGTTATAACCAATAATAAAAATTATGGCTTTTACCGAGAACATATTTGGAAAATATCACACATTTGACTATTTATTCTTTTTTTAAGACATTATTAGTACCCTTGCACACAAATCCACTACCTACAAACAATCAATCAACCATAAATCCTCGTAAATCATAACAGAAATAAAGCACAATTCATACCAAAGTCCTAGCAGTATAATACTTACGGATGAGCAAATCCAGCTACTCTCTCTAATGACCGAACTCAAATATTGTTGATAACACCAAAATTGGTTTTATTTACCCTCCATGTTGAGGTATGTTTCGTGCCAATTCATTTGCTTAAATGATAAAACATCGTCAATTACATCCTTATTTCGTTCCTATTTGAATTCGACGTGATTTTAGGGTGTATTAGTCGATATGTGCGAATTAGGTAATTTCAAGGTCACAAGTATATAAAAAGGGGCGAAAATGGAGATTATGGCCGAAGGAACCAAGATCCCAGCCTTTAGAGCCAAGATCCCTGCCATGAAGAGAGGGCATGAACTAGATCACAAGATTCCAGCCCGTGAACTTGACTTGAAGATCGCAACCTAAAGTTTGCGGCCACAAACTTTGGATCCATGGGTGTGAACTTCAGAAGAGGTCGGATCGGGAGAAGCAGAAAGTGTCCCCACTCAAATCACGGTCACCGTCTTCCGAGCCCGCGATAAAGATCGAGACCGTGGCACCTAGGATCGTGACCGGGATGTTAGGCCGCAATCTCCACATTTTGCAAGGCGAAAACGATGACTTTCAAAGATTGCATTCTCTCTCCCAAAGATCCCAACCGCGATCTTTTGCCTCTAGCCTGTGAACTTTCCCTTAAGATCGCAGCCTCAAGTTCATGGGCGGGATCTTCAGCCTTCAGCCCACGAACTTGCCCATGTCTACTGAACTCTATAAATAGAAGACCCCTTTCGCCTTTTTAGTTGAGCTGATTTTGAGAGAAATTTTCTGGTTCTAGAGAGAGAAGAGAGAGAAGTTGAAGGAAGGAGAAGAAGGAGGAGCTAGTAGCAAGGAGGATCTTCCCCAACTTCAAGTCTTCTTCTATTTCTAAAATGTATCTTCTTCCCTCCTTTATGGAGTAGTCCTCTAAGGTACTAGGGGTTTTAATGTCATTCTTTCCTAAATGATGACGCTTGGGCAACTGGCCCCAATCTTCCCTCTTAGCCTGCTTTATGCTACCGCGTTGGTTGCGGAGTTCTAGGGTTAGACGAGTATGCGCCATCTGGCGAGTTTATGTTAGATTTGTTAATGGGGGCCTATAGTGGTCGAGACGATCGTACCCCTGTTATAGGTGGCTTTCCGAGGTGAAACCCGAGATAAAACCTCGGTGTGGACGGTGGATAGTGTCCATTGAAATGAGTCATATACTTAATTCCCCATATATGATAGCCTAGATCGAGGTGACTAGAATATGGGTTTAGGGGAGGTGTACTCAGAGGCGTGTGGATAACGACGACGGCCCACGGAAAAGAGCTCACTGACCACATTGGACGACCCTAGATATCTATATATGCATAGTTACCCTAAGCTAGGGGGAGGATTAGTCCCCGAAATACCTGCTTTTAGCTTTGATCAATCCTTAGACTAAAGTTTCCTCATATCCTCCACTCAAAACCTCAAAAATCGATTAACTAATTAGCAACTAGGTGGGAAGTAGGCTAGGGTACCGGGACTCGGGTAGAATACGGCATTGATTACCACTATACAATGACGTCGTTCTAGGTTAAACTTGGCCTAGGATGGGGTAGTTGTGGATACGTGCAAACCTATGACAAAAACATGAACGGATTCAAGTGATCGATTGTCGTTGTAAGTTTTCTTGAACAAATTCAATAACGACCAAACTGCAAAAAAAATAATAATAATAGAAATGTCAATTGTGACTTGCACAATCTCGATCGACCTATTCAAAGACAGGTCGGCCTCCTTATTAAAATGGTAGACCAAATATATTTTAAAGAAATAATATTTCTCTTACTTGTCCCATTTCGTCCCCAGCCTTCTCTTTAGTAACAACATAAAACAAGTATTCGACTGGATTTTGCATATTTTTTATAAATCCTTCTAGACCCTCCTCCACTTTCATGACCTACAACTCAGAGCTAAAATTGGAGTTACATATGAAAACAAACACACATTCTCAATTTAATAGATCAATATATAACTTAATATGAGTCACTTTCATATCGAGGTTTCTTGTACTTAGGAGAGGAACCATGACTGTCAAACGTTGTTTCACTCTGACAATCATATAAACAAAACAAATTAGCACTAATGATAGTAATACTAATATCTTCACTCACATATGAATATACTTTCACCTTAAACTTTTGGTCTTTCAATAAATTGTCTATGCTCTGGTAGCAATTTGCAGAGTCATTATGGTATTCCTTCTCTTCATCAAAGTCAAATTTCTTTCTAGTACCATCTTTTCTTTCCTTCTCCATTCGTTCTGCACGTATTTCTTTGATAGCACCTTCTAGCCTCTCAAAACCATCATACATCATCCCAGTCATATATGTCAATCGAACTGACAAATGCTCCAGTGTATCACGCATGGACTTTTGATAGTCATTGAATTTATTTTTGACACATCACCATATGCTCTTGTGTGGCTTTCAACACTTTCATAATTTCACCCTCATCGTGTTTTACTTTCTCATCATGCGCCATCGTTTAATCAATTTAAATAAAATATTTCAATCATAATTCAACTTCAAAATGTGTACAAACGACCAACAACAGAAACTACCAGAACCATTTAGGTCGAACTATGACCTTCCTCGGTCGACCCATAAAAGTAAAAGAGTCTTACAAACAAAGCCAAAATCGACATTCTGGACAAATAAGCAAAACTAACGCATATGGTCGACCTTGATAACAATTAGGTTGACCTAATGGGTTTGATCTTCCTTAACTCAAAAGAACAGAAGTCGGCGTGTCGTGCCTAAGTTCAATTGATGTAAATGTTCCACAGAGGTTGACCTGATTGTGAACGTGGCTGATCGAATCGTCTTATGCAAGTAAACAAAAACATCAAATTACGAAATAGTATGACAACAACGTTACCTAAATTCGGTCGAGCTTACCTTGCAAGTGGTCGATCGTGTGGAACACGTATAGGAACAACCACCACGCTCTTCCGCTTCTTCCACAAACCTCTAACCCTAGAAGATGAAAGCAAATCAAATCAAAATTCGAATAAATCAGAGCACATTAGAATAGAGCAAGAACAACATCGTATCCTAAATTAGGTAGACCTCACCTTGTATGTGGTCAACCGTTTGGAACCCGAATAAGAAGAAAAAGAAGCAGTCTTATTCTTCACCAAAACTCTAACCCTAGAAGAAACCAAATTAAGTGTTTGAGTGGCGGTGAAGGTGACATATATTCTTATTTATAGATATTTATGACGAAATTAGGATGAATTAAGTGGTAGACAAGTTAGGGTTACCTTTCTAGTGTTGGAATCCTTATTGAATACATATAGTGTGTAAGAGGTCGATCACGTACTTCTCAGGTTGACCTTTTCTACTATTTTTGGAAATAAGTCTGAATTTGATATTGATAAGTTAATGCAATAGAGGTCGACCTTTTTATTAGTGAGGTTGACCTTTTAATGAACAAGGTCGGCCTTATT